GCGAGGTGCTATGGGTGTAGTTTAGACTAGAATTTTGTCTACTTTCTAACATACAATCTGCTCTCACAGAAATCAAAGTTCTTCAGAGTTCTTCATTAACGTCAGTGAAAGAAGGATCACGCATTGAATATTTTCTTCCAGTGTAAATCTTTTATGTCTCCTTTGATTCCCGCATGCTTTCCTGCAACCACGGACAGCCTGCAACTGTGTATTACACTGTGCATTGTTTTCTTTCCTATGTTCCCCTACTGATTTCTGCTTTTGTCACATGCCTTTTGACCCCCAGTTGTGGTCAATATGTGCTTGTGTACAGTGTATGGTCGTCTGTCACATTTCGCTCTTGAGTCCCGAGACATGCTGCAGCTTCATAGAGGGTCTGTGGTCCAGGAATGCATGTTAGAGTGTGTGCACATTCACCTTCCTTTTCCTTTCCTTTTTTTTATCTGTGCTGTCTGTGTCAGGAGTTGATCTATACCGTATGTAATGTATATCGCCGCTCTTCATTAGATTCTTTCTGCTTACCTGTGCTCTACAGGTGAACACTGTCCAAACAGCATGCATTGTCTATTTGCTGTGATGCAGGGCTTGGCATAGGAGGTGTGTGGTTTTTGACATAGGAATACATGTATGTTCATTACAGCATGGAGTTAAAGTTGAAGACATGCAGTGGGTGTTTGCATGGTAATGTTCATAATGGGGCCAGCATGTATCATGTTGTAGAAGACATGGCAGAAGATGGACATGTGCACAAGTTTGTCTGTGAGAGCATAGTGTAGCATTTCCAGCATGAGGTACACGATGTGCGCTCATGGGTGTGTATTTCTTGTGAGAGTGATATTTAATGACTATTTGAAGTGAAGAATTTGCATCTTCTTTCCTTTTTCCCATTTCCCACAACCCTGCTCCCTGTATGTTTGGCAGCAAAATCTCTTTTAACCCCAGGTAATGAAGATAGGTGATGCTGCTGCATTAGAAAAAGTGCCATCTTTCTGTCACCTCCTGTGAGAGAGGAAAGCTAGGCAGGCAATGACATCAAAGGTTTAAATAAACAAAACACAACACTTTCTTCCTACTAATCTTGGGGAGAAAGAGCAGGTGCTACTACAGAAATAAGTGGATATTGGAAGACAGAAGAGGGTTTAGTTCAAGGAGGAGAGACTGTGGCTTAACAAGGATATATACCATCAATTCTTCATCTGCTCAGCATATTAGAAGACAGTTTCAGGATCTCTTCTCAGTAGTTCTGTACTTCCATAGAGCTCCCTCTGTCGGTCCTTCGTGAACAGTACCCGTAGCACTGAGAAGTGGTTGGGAGAGATCATATCTGAGCACAGTAAGGTTTCCAGGAGGAAGGAAAAAGACTGTAGGTCTGATGGCAGTCGTGCTACATGCCACATAGGGGGCTCTAAATACTTGGATTACTGAAGTGCTTTTGCCCCAGCACATAACAAGAAGTCATGGCTTCTGAAAACCCCAGAGATTCATTGACCTAACGGATGCTGCTGCTGCTGCTGGAAGACCATTTCAAAGAAGCCAAGTAGCAGCTAGTCAAGGGGAAGAACACTGATCAAATGGTTATGTGAATTGGCTCAAGGATGTTAAGTTCCAGCACGAGCCAGGAGAATGTCCTGCTACCAGTAACAGGTACTACTTCCATCTGAAACTCTTCCAGGTTACTGAGAGGTATGTGAACGCTGCAGGAGATTGCTCAAAAGAGCAGAGAAAATTTCTGACAAAACAACAAAATAGGGTCCTGGCACTGACAAAGGTGGCTCTAGCTGGACTAAAATAAAAATAAGTAGACAGGAGGTGGATTTTTTTTTGCATTCTGCTAATAATCCAACACAGCTCTAGCAATGCTTCTATTTGAAAATGGGATATTAATGATATGATGTAGCAGCAGCAGAATACTATGTACAGCATTTGTTAAAAAATTTTTAATTCACAAATGTCAGTACAACATTCAGCTGACAATGACTGGGCAGAGTGAAAGATCAGGGAGAATCAGACCCTTTTGCAAGAAAAATATGAACAAATTCTAACACCTATAGTTCCAGGCCTGAGCTCTGCTTGAGACTCGTCCAAGCTTCCAAGCAAAGGGTCAAGCCCACTGGAGAGAGGGCTATGTCTGCTTAAATGCAGCTCAGACTTTCACCTCTCTCATTCTTTGGGGAGCAAGAAAGTATATTCTTTAGATGGGAAATGGATACGCTGGTGTATGGGCAATGAGCACTAATGGTTCTGACCAGCCTCTCCGCTGGGGCTTCCCCCCAGACATCTGCCCTTTGGCCCTGCAGGAAGAACTGTTCCGTGCCTTAAAGTGTCAGAAAATACACCCCACTATTCTCTTTGAATTTTGGAAATCTTTCCATATCACTCGGGTACAATTACAACTCACTCCAATGGAATGGCAAGAGAGGAGGGTTTAGACACATGACAATACAATCACAGAAAGAAAGAAAAGAAAAAGACACAGGACAGAAGAAATCCAGAGTCTCAGGGAGAAAGTAACAGTGAGGAGTTCCAAAAAAGCTGCCCCTCTTGGACAGGCCCTTTATTTCCAGCTGTGTATGTGGGAAGCAGACCTTACAGTCACTATTTTGGATCAAACATTTGATTTCCAAATATGTCTTTATTGTTGATTTAGCTCAGTAATATGAATTTTATTTTACAAGATGCTAACCAACGGAAAAAAAATCCACAATTACCTTATACAGTATTGGACTACCACAAAAACAGAAGCAAATGTCACAACCCAGTTAAAAGAAATGTAAAATAATTAATCAGGAAATCCTAAACAGATGAGATTAGTACCCTACATCACTTATAAACCCAGTAGTAGGAGGGAAGAGGAGGTCTGAACAGCAAGTCAAGTGATTCACTTTCCAACTCTTCTCCCCTAAATGTGTCCATGTTAGTGTGAGATACACACACACACACACATAACCATGTGCTTAGTAGTATGAATGTGAGCATGTGTGACAGTGGTAGATATGCATGCCATCCTGTCCTGCCCCACCTTGTCTTTTACTCTACAAAGTCTTCTGGATCTGCTTTTTGTTTCAGAAACTAGAGAATTTCCTAAAAGAGACTGATGTATATTTGCAAGCAAAGCGTGTGAAAAGAGCCTGATGATCAGAGGAGAGTGGGTCAAACAGAGAGGACTCTACAGTGTAGGCAGAACTGAGTTAAATTAGGCAGCAGGTGTAATTTATCCCAGTGTTTACTCTAGATCAGCATATGACTGAAGTTAAGAAGCTGGGTATAACTAAGCCACGTATTTCTTCCTTTACTCTCCCATTTTCTGTCTGTTCATAGTGATTATGCTAAATATATCTTTTTGCACACCTTCCCTTCTCTCTCATTCCAGTCTACTACCTTCCATACCACACAGGCAATGATCCTCCTGACCTGCATAAAACTCTGCCAATTACTTTCATCACACTCCCCAAATATTCTTCTTGCCTTACACACTTCAGTGGAACAGCAGTCAAAAAAGGGTTGAAATTTGATTTCCCTCTCTCCTACAGTCAGAGGACACTCATATTGATTTCTCCTTCCTGAGGAGATGGGATCTAATTCCTCCATGTAAATACAGTGAACACCCCCATCTTACATTGGCATCTGCCTATCTTCTTCATCCTTCTTGTCTTTTCCTCCTTCTTGGTCCCCCTCCTGTATGTAGGAATGTTTACAGTAATACAGTTCAGTTCACTAATTTTTCAGATAAAACCTTAACCTAGAATTTTCCTGAAGTCATCTCACTGACCAAAGCTCAACTCCTTCATCAGAGTAACAGTGGTTATGGAAAAATCTGCTGTGTCACCAGGAAGAAACTGCTTTAGCAAGGCAGCATAAGACTTGCACAGGACAAAATCTGTTGGGTACCTTTCTAAGAACGGTACTGTCTTAAAAGGGGTGGAGTAGACGGGAAGCATTTTATAGAAAACCTGCCCTGTAGCCATTTAGCTCCCCTCCCCCTCAGGCCTAAAACCACTTCCCTGGAGGCAAAGAGTATCCAGTTGCAGAAAGCCAGGGAAATGCATTTGTGAGGGACTAATTTCCTTTGCTTGTGAATGTGGTGCAAGATCTGTACAGAAATGAGACATGGAAGGGGAGCGTAAATCCACAGAATTTTTGCCACCTTCAAACTTGCAGAAGATTATTACAAAAGACATCACAAATAGATTATCTAATCGACATCAAGTTGTTGCCTTAATATACAGCAAGGGAGACTGCCTTAAGTAAGAACACAAAAAGCTTTCTCACTTGGAGGCTAGCTAGAAAATGAAGAGGCTATCACAGTAGCCCACAAGATTGGCATCAATGAAGATCATGAAAAACAATGTAAATAAATGGCCATGGAAATGGCCATTTTCGGTATACTCAGTCCTGTCTCAGGGTCTGAGTGGACTAGAAGTCCTCTTGATGTCCCTTCTAGCCCTACGCGTATGAGTCTATCCATTGGTTTCACTGAAAAGAACAAAAGAGTTGGTCTCAAACTTTTGTCCAGAACTTGCAATTAAAGCAACAAAGAAAATAAGTCCTTCCTTTCTTCCCCTTCCTCTCAACCTTTACACATCACAGCTGAAGAGTTTCCAGCCCTCAGAGTTAGCCCTTTTAATAGTGATGTCGTGGGAAATGCAATAATCTTGCAACACATCACAGGCAGCAGCTGGAGTGAGGACTGTCAGCACAGGACAGCCTTATGTGGGCAGTACAAATATTGCACTGCTCACTGAATGCCCATAGGAGTGTACCCCAAACCATGGGCAAGGTGTGACAAGGTCAGTGTACAATACATGCTCCAGACATGCCTCCCTCATCCAATGAAAGGGTTACATATGAACAGTCATTTCTTTCCTTCCCAGTCACTCTGCAGAAGGTCCACAACCCTGGCTTGTCTAGCAGCCTCCAGTACTGGCTAACAAATTCCAGCTGTGGCAAGAGAAGAACTAGGAAAGATGGAGTCTCCCCCTCCCACAGCACAGAATCTCTTGCTAGCCAATAAGTTTGCCCTTTCACACCATTTCTTTTTACCCTCCCTCCCCTCAGTTTAAAAATAATGATTATAATTAATGCATGAAGGTGATGGCATTGTGCAGGTGATTCACTTCCAGTTCTCTTCTCCTCTTCTCAAACATTCTCCTTCCTCTGCTCCAACACAAACCCATCCTCCAAAATTAGTTCCATCTCTCCATCTCGCCTGCATTACTGGTGGCTGGTGTTCACTTGCCATAGACGCTCTCATCACTGTAGGCCACGTAGAGAAAATAGTCCTCCTCATGGTTATCCTGGGAGGAGAGGGAGGGAAAAAGTAACAAACCAAAGCCCTGTAATTAATCATATGTGAAAATGCCCAAACAAGAGACCACTGTAACAGCAAGAGGGCCTAGAATCTCTTTCACTGCTTCTTTCTCTCTGTGGAAGCTTAACTTTGTTATAGCACAGGGCCCTTGAAATGGCTGAGCCTACAGCAAGTTTGTGGCCACAACTCTACAACTAAATTAAAGAATGTCACATCTGGGAGCACGCTGAATTTACTAGTGCAGCCAGAACATGCCAGAAACATGCAAGCACTGCGGAGCAGATAGCTCTGTGTGCTGCAGGCTGTGCAGCAGAATCTCAGCATTTGCACTTAAGATTGCAAGGAAAGACTTTAACAAATCAAAAGCACTCTTTGGATACTTCCATACTTGCCAAACAATTATAATGGCTATTTTTCAGAACACCTTGACAGATGGTTGCAATTCTAGCCCTGTTGTACACATCGTCTACAAAGCTAAGATGTTAAGTGATGACACAGACATAAAAAGTCTTCAGAATGCTTGGAACAGAGTCCCAGAAAGTTAGATCTAAACAGTTAGATCTACCTTACTCTGATGAGTTCAGATTTGCAATAGTGCTTGTATTTGTTCACTTCATATTGCCTTTATTAGCCTATACTGTATTGTGCAGTTACTATCAAAAAAAGTGATGAGCCAAATGGGGTTTACAGCATCATGCTGAAGGCTCTTATTATAAGACATGAACACAGCAGGAGGGAGGTTCATGACTGAAATCAAGGAAGGCTAAAAACTAGTCTTGATATAATGCCAATATAATTAAGGAATGTTACCTTGATGGTCAAAGAATATGCCTTCAAAATGGATCAAATAGTACTTCTCAGCAGAAATTGTGGGATACAATGTTCACAGTGTCCTTGCATATACAATACAAGTTTAAAAAAAAAAAAAAAAAAAAAAAAGAATCCAAACCAAAGAATAAGATTTCCCTGAAAAGCACTTGTAGGAAGTTTGTTGTCCCGTGATACTGTGCTCTTACCCTGGCTAAAAGGAAACCTCTTTTGTATAAGCAGGTAAGCTGATACAGGTAAGTCTGTTCATCATTTTTCCCATCACACTCTCTCCTCCTCAGTATAGACAGGTGTTTTATGGCAATGCTTTTTTAAGTAGTAGGATCAACATGTCACTGCTCAGGCAACTATTCACCACCTAATACAACAACACTTTTACCTAGCAAACAACTAAAAGAATTAGACTCCAGACTCTTCTTTATAACTAAAAAAATGAACTTTCCCAGCAGTTCATGGAATATTGCCAAGGGTAAGGGGTCCAGTTTTATGGACCTGTTGCCAGGCTTCACCCACTGGCACTTAAGCAGCACCCAGTGATACTTCAGTGAGAATATACATTCTTATGGGCACTCCACCAAAGAGAGAAAGAAATGGGCCAGGCTTACCTCATACAGCTGTCCCATGGTAGCACTGGTAGGAGGGATGGTATTATTGACAAAGAAGAACAGGGCATCTTCTGGCCTCAGGTGGATTCTCTTTCGAATTAAGAAGTAGAATTGGCCAACTGAAGAAGAACAGGGTAGAATGCTTTAAATGCATAAAGAGTGTTCATTTGGTTTAGCAACTTTGACTGATTGTTTCCCTTTGGAAAAGAAGAAAGGGAATGCTGTATATATAAAGTAAGGGGTGGGGGGGAAGGAAAAATGCAGGAAAGAAAGAACTTCATGATGGTCACTGCATTATCAGCTGACCCGCACTGAGCTAGTAAGTGTTGGTTCAGTGCAGCTTTTCAGGTTTACCCACACTGACTCTGACCACTGTACCCTCTAAATCCACACTCCCATCTATATAGTAAATGCCCTATAGCAGGGACCATTGGGAAAATCTCTAATCAGTTTAATCTTTAAATCCTATATGGCAAAGGTACCATACAGATTTTTGCCTCAGGTTAAACAGTCATTCCTGAAAACAAATGTAATCCTTACAGTCTATCTGCTTGAGCTTTGTTGCACGAGGCATTCCACAGTCAACTATCAAAAAGATTCTGTTCCTTTAACTGATTCACATTCTCAAATGAAAACAAACATGATCACACACAAACTGGCCATTACTATTCTGAAAAGGAACTTTGTTGTGGTCATGACTCCAATGCTGGCAGTGGAAAACAGGAGGACTATTTTAAGAACTTGCCTCTTTCTGCAACAAGGATACAGGCTCTGTCAACTTGAGCTGCAGCTAAGTCATCATGGACTGATAATTGTGTTACTATGATACACAATTCAGTCATTTTCATCATAAAGGTAAGCGGTGACACATACACATTAGCTGAGTCACTGGGATTCTTCAAAAGACCTCAGAGAACTCTGTATGTCACAAACCAAACTATAACATACAAATATATAGATATAAGTATGGCTAAACTCAAACAATGAAAAGATGCATCAGATGCTCAGATGGATATATTCTTGAGGCTGAGCATAAGAGTAAAAATAACTTCAGAGACATACTCACTGAAAATCAGGGCAAAAGTCAGTAAATTTTCTTACCTGTGAGGTCAGAAGGCACAAGATACTTTCTTTTGTCAAGGTCAGGTACTCTGGCCTTCGGTGCTTTTTCCACAATTACCTAGAGAGAGAGAGTGAAAGTCAGAAAGAGAAAGAGAGAGAAAGAAAAGCAAGAAACTAACCGTGGTTATTGTAAGGAGGAGTGGACCAAGAAGCCTCAGTGGAAAAGGATATTATCCTTTAAGAAATGGACAAGTAGGAAAAAGACTGGAAATCACTGGCAACAGCTATGTTGGGAGCCCTGGACAGATGCAGTAACCACAGTGAGTAAAAAATGGAGACTGAAACGCACATAAAAATAAACTGTAATGGCTAAAAAAAGGCAAAAAATCAGGTCACCTTGATGGTCCTAATGAATGTTATTTCTGTATGAAGAAGCTGCCTGGAGACTAACACACAGATATAAAGAGATATTGCAGATAACTTGAATTATTTCCAGATTCCAAACTTTCTGGCCTAAAATCAGCCCTAGTCCCAATAGTCCCATATCCTAATTTCTACAATCACCAACCCTGAATGCTCTAGGAAGAAGCAAAGAATAAAGAAAAAATAAAGAAAAACTACATATCATTGGTGAAGTTTGGAGAAGCTTCTTTTTTTTTTTTAAGCCCAGTTAGTTCAGTAGTAAAGTTTTATACTCTATAGTTTGCAAATGCACATTATACTTCATACGGTCATGTGTGTTTTCTTAACCACATAAATAAATAATAGAATTTGAAAACGTATTAATGTTCGGGCCTCTGGAATTAGGAAACTCAATGCAAAACACTAATCCTTATTAATTGCCATGCAGATGAAGTTCACTAGCTTTGAAGTCAAATGGGCTAAGAGATCTTCAGCTACAGCAAAGGAGTTGTCATCAGAACTAGGCAAAATGCTTATCTCAAAAGTAACAAGTATTCCAAAACGACCTGAGCTTCTTGCAAGAAAATCCAAGGAAACCTTCCCAAAGTTGGAGGTATGTTTCCATGGAGCTACTGAGTTTGCATGGAAAAAAAAATGCAGATTTATTTATTTATGAACTGGAAATGACATGCTGTGACTCAGTCTATGTGACTTGCTATCTGCAGAAGCCATTTTGGCCATCTAAATGAGAAGCTTGATTTTTCAACGTTCTTATCTTTTTCTTTTCCTGGACCCTGTCCTGGACTCAATTTGGGACACTGCAGGGCTGATTTCCAAGTGTTCCATATTCCCAAAGCTCTTTGCCAATCAAAATCAGCAACTGTCTCTGTTGTATGGGATGAAACGATGTGGACCAAGTCGTCTCTGGAACCTAAATGATGTTTTCACATCATTTTGACAGAGAAAATAAATTATCAGAAAAAGAGTTGAGGTTGTAGGGGTCATCTGGAGATCACCCAGTGCAATCCTTCTGCTCTAAGAAGTGTCACAGAGAGCAGGTTGCCCAGACCATTTCCAGTCAGGTTCTGAATGTCTCCAAGAACGGAGACTCCACAACCTCTCTGGGCAACTCATTTCAGTATTCAGATACTCTTACAGCAAAGAAATGTTTTCTCATGTTCAGTTGGCCTTTCCTGTGTTACAATGATCTATATTAGCCTGGACAAAGTACCATATTAATCCAGGTCTACTCTTTCAAGAACCAAGTGAATATCTGCAAAGGATCCCTGTGCATAGAGATATTAGTTGGACACCTCTCCAGCGGGCTTCATTTGGATGATTCAACATGGTCAAAATCTCTGAAAAGTGTAGGTTTATTTTTAAAATAGAAACATGGCCACTTCTGCCTTTTTAATAACCTGCTTTTTCAAGTACCTCAGTCTGTACAAGCCATTCAAGCTCTCTAAAGCTTGAATGTTGTGGTAGGATATGCATTTCTATGAAGAAGCAATTGACATAGGGTGAATGCTGTGGGGAAAAAAAAAAGTTGTTCTCACTGAATATGTATTGGCCAAACAGCAACAGCACTTTTACCATATATACTACAAGATATCTAACATAATAGCTTACAGTGAAAACTAACCTTTCTTGTTCAAAATCACCAAAATACAGACAAGTAGAAGGGGGTTAGCCAGCAGCAGTGATATGATCATCCTGACCCTGAAAGCATCTTGGTCATCCTGATCACAATTTGGTCATTAGAATAACAAAGGAAAGGAAGATGGTGGGGAAGTCCAAAGCTAGTGAGGAAGAAGAGAGAATGCTGGGGCTTCTAAATCTGTAGGAAGCATTCAAATTAGATAATCACTAAGCTTAACAGATCTCCTTCTTGCAGAGCCGCAGAGCAGGAATAGAGACTGATTAGCAGCAGCAGTTCGCTTGCTTGGTAACACAGATATCTTTTTCTCAAACACTAAAACCTTCACAGACCTCTGCATGTGCATTCCTCCCTCCCACCTCCACCAAAGAAAATCCAAAGAGCAGCAACCAATTATCTGCATATCTGTTGTTGCTGGGTGGCATCAGCAGTCTCATGAGACTGTGCCATACTATATTATAAACTCAGCAGAATGCTGAGTTGTATAAGGACACTGCAGTGTAGGCAACCAAAGCGATGTCATCTTCAAGGATCCTGCCATCAGGAAGGGCACAGACATAAGCGATAAAAAGAATCCCATTGGCTGCATTCATGTGTTCTACATGCAGCTCTCTCAACAGGCTTCCCCCCTCATAATCCACATCCAGGCCTCCCAATGCAGCTTTTTTCATTTAGCCTTAACTGCAATACACACTGCTATTCTGCTCCTGGCTTCCTCCCTACAGTTCTGCTGATGCCCCCTCTGTCTTCATGTTATTATTTTCTTGCCAGACCAGCTCCAGTTCTCAGCTCCCCCCATGGCTCTTCTGGATACATCTGTCATGATCTGCTGCCCAAACTGCCATGCTAATTGTCCTCACTCCTGACTGACAGCACCCTCTCTGCGGTCCTCATCCTCTGTGCTCCCTCAACAGCACTCACTTCTTCATTGCCTAGCTGTATTCTCAACCTGCTATGCTAGGCCAAAAGGCCCCAAATTTGCAGCTTGGCCAAATGCACCCAAATTTTGACTTCCCAACATTTTCACTAGTATAGTTGTAAGCTACTCCTAAGATACAAATGGTGTTGGCCTGTCAGGAAAACATGTAGGATAACTGTTTCCCCTTAGCCTTAGATTCACAGTTTCAGGTATTTTGAATGCAGTATCCCTAGGCAGTAAATCTGGGACGGATCTCTCCAGTGGGAACGGAAAGAAAGAACAACTGCTAAACATTTAATAGAACAAAAAGAAAAAAAAAACTCAATTAATTTGGTTGGTCATTTCTTTTTTCCAATTATACCAGTCATTATAAAGCTAGAAGTCTCCCACAGGCATTCCACAGGCACCTAAGCATGAGGAAATACAGCAAGGAGGTCAAAACTCTTGTCTCCAAAAAGATGCTTTTCTTTTTTTTTCTGTAAGAAGGTTAAACAGGAGGGCAGACGGGCTGGGATCTTAAGTGTCATTTTTCTCTCATATAAAGCACAAGAACAGAGTAAGGCTGTACCAAAAAGACAGGCCAAAAGAAAGAAAGGCAAAAATAATGGGATATCTGATCAAATGGATACAGCTCTAGTTTCCTATGAGCAGTGCTGGACAGAGTCACAGTTCTCCATTTTCACACAGAAAAACAGTAAGCTCTTGCCGCCTCCCACCAGTCCCACGCACACAGACTGCCATAATAAGATTCCCACTGCCAAGCTGGTGCGGATCCCTGGAAGAGGGAGGGCGCATTACACCCCGCCATCCACACCTACGTGCTGATGGAGACCTTAGTGGGTCCTAACATAAAAAAAAAAAAAAAAAAAAAAAAAAAACCCTGGCTACGCATTAGAGGCAAAAGCAGCCTGGAATCTGCACATGAAGGAGTGTGAACATCGACCTTACTAATCCAATTCATAAATCCAAAAATAGAGCAGCTGATGACAAGAACAAAGACAGACGGTGGCAGGACAGCAAGGCAAGCCCTGCATGCTGCCTTCGCTGCCACTGCCCGAGGACGCGCGCACACACTGCACTCACAGGCACTCTGTCGGGGTATTTCTTTCTGATTTTCTCCCCTTCCTTTTTCCTGTATTCGAAAGGATGGTCTTCCTTGTACTGGAACTTCATGCTGCGCTACGGGCCAGGCGTCGGCTTCCCCTCCGATGGCTGCTGCT